CCCCCCCCCCCCCCCCGGGCCCCTAGGGCGGCTCCCTCCCACCCCGCCCCTGCAGTGCGAGGTCACAGCTCTCTGGGGATGATGGAGAAGGGCAGCACCGGGCTGCTGGCCTCTAGCTCGAGGGCAGTGAGGAAGCAGTCGACGGCAGCCTCGCTCTGGCCCTGGGCCTGCAGCACCTCGCCCAGGCCCTGCCAGGCCTCGTGGCAGGTGCTCTGCCTCTCCACGGCGTCCCGCAGCACCTTCTGGGCCAGACTCTTGTGGCCCAGGCGACTCAGCATCAGACCCTGGGGAACAAGCACAGGGTGAGGTTAGTGAGGGCGTCCTGGGGCAGGAGCATCCTGGCCATCTGGGTGAAAGGGCTCAGACTGGCGGCCTTGGGAACCGTCAAGTGACCATTCCGGTTACTCATGCAAATCCTGCCCAGCCCCGCCCTAGCCCCGCTTCTAGCCCAGCCTCCCAGGCAGCCTCGCGGGCCCAGATCACCCACCACGGGAGCTCTGTCCCTCCCGGCCCCGAGGCCCCAAGGCCCCGAGGATGGGCTTTCAAGTCAGCAGACCTGGCTTTGTGCCTCCCCATTACAGCTGGGGATCCTGGCAAGTCTCCCTGGCCTTCCGTTTCCTCAGCTCTGAGTGGGAAAGACTGCAGTACCCGCCGCTGGGGCTGTCGAGTTGGCGGGAGTCAGTACATGGAAAGCACTTGAACAGTGTCTGGCCCGTGTGAGCCCCTAGTCAGTGGGTCTGTTACCCTGAGGCCTTGCTGCTGCACCGTGGAGCTACCCGCCCCCCCCAAGGCATGTGGCGGAATAAGCGCCCTGGCTTCAGGCTCTGCAACCTGAAGGCAGAACCTTAAGCTTATGGGTGGGTGGGGGCAGCTCCTTGGCCTGCATCAAGCAGTGGTCTTCTGGGGACATCTGGGTCCTGGGACCTCCTGCCCATCCCAGGCTGGCCTGGCCGGTGAGGGTCACAGGAGGGCGGGTGCTGGGTAGAAGGACGGGCTCTGGTGAGATGGGTCAGGGGTGGCTAGGAAGCTTGGTGTTGCCCTTTGCCTTCAACAGCCCTGCTGGCAGAGACAGGAAGTGACAGGAATCGTCTCGAAAGTTTGGGAAGTGAAACTGGGACAATGTCCCTTCTATGTCCTCTTCCACTCATACTGGGAAGGGTGCAGGGAGGTGGGAGGACAGGGTGGTGAGTCGGGGGGGGGTACCAGGACCCCCTTCGGCCTCCAGTCCCAGAAAGGCTGCTTTGCTCCATCCCACTGATCTGTGTTCCAGCCCTCAAATGAGGCACGGGATGGCAGCATGGGGTGGGGGGGGGGGGCCTCCTCTCATTCACAGATCTGAGGTAAAGCCTAACACCAGCTTCCTGGACAGGCGGGGGCTGGGGTGGGGGAGAGGAGCTGCCTTCTATGTGCCTGGAGCCCCCTCTCGGGTGCCCGCCCACTGATGGCCATGTACATTTTTAGCTGGAACATTTTCCTCCTCACCACGCTCCTCAGAGTTAGGGCCTCTGTTGCTATGGAGACCCACCGGGGAAGATGCACATGCCCGATTTCATAAAGTCCTCTGAGAGCTAGGCAACAGTGAGAGGTGGTGCTCAGGAAGCCCGAGGCAAAGCCTCTCCCTCTCCGGAGGTGCTGACCAGTGGTCCTGTGGCTGTGGAGGGGGGCAGGAAAGGAAGGGGGGGGGCTGGATTCATAGTGCCTCTTCAACCCAGGGCACCACACAGATGGGGTGGAGGACAGGGGAGCTGTGGCGGGGCCGCCCGGGACCAGAGGGCAGTGCCCGGGCTGGCCACCAGGGCCCCGGGCCAAGCTGTGCTGCCTGCATGGCCTGGGAGCTGGACCCTGAGCAGCTCCCGATGGAACAGGGCCCACAGGGAGGAGGGAAGGCAGGCGAGCCGACAGGCCGCCAGACACCAAAATTAAGCACCAAAAATGGAAGGTTTGCACCCTGTGAGTGCTGCCCACGAAGGAGCAAGAGAGGACACATGGGGAAGGCCGGCGGGGCCTCCCAGCCAGGGGGCGGGGCCGCAGTGGGGTTTCCACACTCAGTTTTCGAGATCGAGCTTCCACAGGAGATCTTGTTTGAAAAGAGGGCTCTCCCGCTAAAAAGGAGTTCGAAAACCCCTGCTCTCCAGCAGTGTGTGGGTGTTTGGGAAGGGGCCAGATATGTCCGCAGGCGGAATAGGGTGCGTGCGTGCGTGCGTGTGTCTCGAGCTCTGCTGGTTTTACTCTCAGGAAGGTTTGCAGCAGGCTCCTCCGCATGTTTCATGTAGAGAAAAAAGCCAGGGCACTCCACAGCCAGAAGACCTAGGCTGGGCTGGATTCCCAGCTTTACCACTGACAAGTGCAGCGACCATGGGCCAGTGGCCCATTTTCTCTGGGGAGCTGTGGTTTCCTCATCTGTAAACCAGGGAACAGAATGGTACTTCCTGGTAGGCAATTGTGAAGAGTCTGCAAGGATGAATTTGAAATCATGTAGGCAGGGCACACGGTGGGTAGACAGCAAAGGGTTAGGATGAGCAGAGGGTCCTGTCGGAGTGAGGAGTAGGGGGTGATTTCTCTAGAGGGCAAGGCTCTCTGTGGGCAAAGACTGGGGACTGGGGTGGGGTTGGATCACGTCCCCCATACCCTGGGGTGCTGACCTCAGAGCCTGAAAGGAGACACCGGGCTGGGGTCAGGCTGGGGCCCCGAGGCCCAGGGCCTGTAATAGGATCTGCTGCCACCTGCCTGAGACACCAGTCTGTTCGTGTTTGGTAGCAACTTGGAGCTGTTTGCTGCCTGACAACTGGGCAGGGCCTGCCTCAGGAAGACGTGAGGTCTCACCTGCTCTGCCCCCTGCCTGGCACTGTGCCAAGGGCCCGCCATCACCCCCCCCCGGCACCCCCACCTCAGCCGCCCAGAGAATAGGTCTCCAGGGAGATGGTGGGAACACTGTTCTATCCAAATGTCCCCGATGACTCTTCCCCACTCTGGCCAGGGGGCACCCTGAGCCAAGAGAAACCAGACCTGCTGGTGGGTGACTCAGCCTCGGACCCTCACCTGGGAGATGCCATAGCCAGGTGGCCACCCGCGGCTGTTGGAAAGCAATGTGTGAGTTGCTTGTGGCCGTTGAGCAATGCACTTCCGAGAGGGGGCCAAGGTTACGACCACTCAGGGAGGGCAGGGCTATGGGGGGAAGGCCCCAGAAATTCCCAACTTCATCCATTCCTCCTTCCCTCCCTTCCTGGATCTGGCCTCATCTCAACTACCCAGGACCCTGCTCCTCCAGGAAGCCTCCGAGGATAGCACCTCCTGGCCATGCCATCACCTTGAGGTTGTGCTTCATTACTGGTGGGCTCTGGCGTGCGGCCCATCCTAGGCTGAGAGGGACAGGGTCCGTGGCTCCTGTCTGCTAGGTTATTCCCCACAGGACAGCAGCACAACAGAGCTCAGGTGGGAGGGGCCTGGGTTCTGACCCAGGTGCACCAGAGGCACTTAAGGTGTGCATGCTTACCGACCTGCTTAGGGCCACAGGACAGGCAGCCTGAGGGGCCCTCTGAGGGGGACCCTCCCTGTTGGAAGACAAGGTTCTCTGTGGGGGTACAAAGGCTGCATGCAGCCTGGGATGGGGATGAAGGAGAAGAAAGGTCCCTCCACCCCTTCCTTTTTCAGAATTGCTACTGCACACCATCTTACCTCATTAATTCAGGGCCTGACGCTGTCCCCCCAGGGGGAGGGGCAGCAGAAAGGTCCGGGCTGTATATGTCTTTTTCTTCTTCTGGGGAGGGGGGAGGCCTGCCCTGGGAAGCAGCCCCTAGCACTAGGCCAGCGGCAGGCCAGGCTGAGAGCTCCCTCCCAGTCCCTACCCTCAAGTATTTATAGAAGTTATTTTGGGAATTTTCTTTCTGAGCTCAAGGCACATTCCTGGGATTCTGTAACAGCCTTTCCAGCTGGGAAGCAGGGAATCAGCTGGAGACTGCTGGAGCCTCCTGGTCCCAAGAGCCCTCTGCTTGGGGACCCTGGGGCTGCAGGGAGGAGCCTGGGGTGGGGCCACCTCTGAGGTTGCTCCCTTCACCCACCCTGAGGCTGACACACCCTGCGGGGGAGGCCCACATTCCAGCCCGAGCTCAGGAGCTCAGGCCCTCTCAGGATGCCAGGTTCTCCCAGGTGTTGGCCTCAACCTGTCCAACCAGACTGGGAATGAGGTGTCTCTCCAGGTTGAGATCAGAGCCCACAGATCACCACATCCCTCCCGGAGCTGGGGCAGCTCCAAGGCCCCAGACCGGTCCTACCTCTCTTTTGGGAGAAGGGGCACAAATCCTTCTAGACCCCACCCAACACCTGGTCGACAAGCTCTCCTAGGCTTTCAAAGGAAGAGGCCCCTGCTGAGGGGGCTGACAGACTCACTTGGAGCCCAACAAGGTGGGGGCTTCTGGGGCAGCAGAGGTGGCCGTGCTCGTGTGGCAGAACCCATTGCTCCCTTCGTGCTCCTGCCTACCCCTGCACCCCTCAGGTGAGAGGTTGAACGCCACTGGGTCTCTCGGCTGTGGTGGGAGTTGTGTGTCTTCAGAGGGCCATGGACAGACTCAAAGGTAAACACTGGCTTGAGGAGAAAGCACGTCACCTCCTGGGGGGCTCCGCCTTTTCTCCTCCCACATTCTGGGCTGGTTTCAGGTTCTGGGCCTCTGGAGGCTCTGCCCACTCTCGAGCACAGCTAGGCCCTCAGGGCTAGGTCAGGAGCCTGGAGTTTGGGTGCTCCAAGTGAACACCTGTGATGGGCAGTGAGAGTGGGCGCCATCGCAGAAGCTCCCCTCACTGAGCAGGCGGCAGAGCTGAGGGGAGGGGGCTGCTGGCCTACTGGACAAGGGGAAGGCTGGACCCTGCTGCACCCTCCAGACATGGAGAGTCTTTCAGACCATTGATTTTGGAGCTAAATTAAGCCAACAGTGATGGGGGAAACAAAGGCAGAAGAAAAATTATGAAATTTCCTTACCACCCACAGCCCACTGACAAGTCCTTGAAACAGGGACAGTCCTCTAGGGACTCAACTGCCTCGATGCTGACACTTTGCTAAGGGCAAAAGGCAATCCTAGTAAGACCCCTTCCCTCCAGGATGCTGTAAGCCTACTTTAACATATAAAAATTCCTTTGGAAACTTCCTTTCCCTCTAAACCCCCAAGACACATGTTGGCAATCATCCCCCAAGCATAAGGCCCACCGATATACATCTGAAGGGTCTCATGACTCAGGTTTTATTGGATGGTAATAAATGACCTTTTCCCAAAAATAGCTAGCCCCTCAAGGT